CTCGTTGCTGTCCTAATTTAGGTTCTTCTTTTTAATAAATTCTTGAAAATATTAAAAGAGAGAGAGAGAGAGAAAGGAGGCCCGTGCTGGCTCTTGACGTTCCTGCTTATAGTATAGTGAATTAGGGATAAATAGAAAGTGTGAAATGTGAAAGATATATGGTTTTCGTGGGAACCTTGAGTAGCTAACTGAGGAGAGTTTTAAGATTTTTGTATTGTGACACCTTTATAAATTTTGTAGTAGTGTAGTATTCATACAGAAACATGATTTTTATTTTATTTTTCCTCATTTCTAAACTATGGCTTATACAATCTGTCTCTGAAAAAGATATTAATGGTATATAACTTTATGCTGAATTTCATTATTTATAATTTTAGGAAACCCTTTTAGAGATAAAAATGCTAAATACAAAGTCTTACTGCCATAGAACAAGCTGGATGATAACCCTTAACAGTATGCCTGTATGATGTATATTTGCCAAAGTTCAGGCTTACTTAAAATACACGTGTGTGACCAAAATTAAATATTATATAAGTATTTATTGAGAATAATAATGTTCTGAACAAAAGTTATATTATAGTTTCTTTTTATGTTGCATTGATGGTTATTTTTTATAATGTCATACCTGCTCATTAATATTAGAAAAAATTCAATAAAGATATTTCATACCAACTGTGGATTTCTTTAACCCCAATCCTTTTTCTGTGTTTTTTTTGAGTTAGTAGATTATGTGTGTATGTTTGTGATCATCAAAAGGATATGCAGATTGTTGTATAACTTGTATTGTTTTGCAACTTCCAATGATTTTATAATGCAGTAACTGGAAAAATATCTCAAGAAATGAGTGTTCACTAAATAACTTCATTTTTGCAAATTGCTAAAGCATGTTTATTAAAAAGAATTTCTTTGATTTGATTAATTTTTCATTCTTCATATCTTAAATTTAATACATCAATATTTTTGGAAAGTGAAATTGTTTTTTAGGATCTTTGAAGGAGTATTCATTTCACTGCAATATTAAATATATATTTGCTTGATTTTAAATGTGTATGGTCTTATTTTGTATAAAATAATAATTATTGTTTGTAAAATTTCACATGTCTTTGTTTAGAACAAATTGATCAGTTATCAGAAATATATCTTAGCATTAACTTGGAATTCCCCAAGCCTTTTTATCTGTAAAATAGTTTATTGAATTTAAGTTTGCTGTATTTACATTTTAACATTAATAGCTAGATAGAATGCAAAAATATGTCTCTAGATATTTGCAAATTATTTTATATAAATAACTTTGAAGTGTAGATATTGGAAACTTAGCATTTTTATGTAATGTCAAAATTGTGTTAGCTTAAAGTTACTACTTAGTTACTAGACATGTTAACTGTAGCAGCAAGCAATGTGTTTTGCATTATATTTATTTTTCAGAATTTTACCTAAAATTGTATATGTCACAGCTGAAGTTGATGTTCACACTTAATTCTCACCTCAGTTATAAATTGGATGAGATTAACAATATACTAGAAAACATTATGTACATTGAAATGCAATAATGCTAACATTTTCAGAAAATAAATTTTCTTTGTTCATTTGAAAAAAAAAAAAGTAAAAAGTTTTGTATTTTCATGAAACTTGACAACAAATCATTTATGAAGCTTAAATGTTATAATACTTCTTAAAATATTCTTAAAACAATGAATTTCACCCAAATTATATGTCATACATTAGCGTTTTAACAGTATGGAAATAGAAATCAAAAAGTGTGTGTAACTAATATTTACATACTGAAACATATGTAATTGGAGTAAAAACATGTTTACTATTGTTTGTGTGTTTGACTTGTAATAACAGTTTCCAAAGGGATATGATTTATTGGCATTTTAATTAATTTTTGTAGAATGATCTATAGTAATTTACTTTGCTTAACCCATTATAAAAGAAAATACATTTGTTTATATTTCCTGTCACTAGGTCTTGCATTCAAATCTCAGTTGAATTGGGATTTTCTCTTAAATGGTCATATTCATGCTTCATCTCAAATAAGTATTTAGTTGGAAATATTCAATATCCAAGAGTGGTTAATTCTAAGTTAGTTTAAGTCTATTTTTAGTGTCTACATTGGTTTGTATTTGTAAGACCATTTTCTAGGTTTGCAGTTTATAGCATTGTCAAACCTATAAAAGGAAACTTGCTGGTTACAAAAATGGTGTTCCTTGACTTCTGATCTGTAAGATTTTGCATGAAAATTGTTTGATTATTGTATAGTGAGGACAGTTTTTTGGTTGCAAAATCAGCAAATAAAATGGTGTTGTGACCCTTTCTTTGCTATCAAATGATATTTTGTAGCAAGGTGTTTGTTTAATATCTTGCAAAATGTTTTTGATATACCTAGCTGAATGACAGTGGCATTTCTATGTTTAATTTTGCATAACACACATTAGAAACAAAGCGAGGACAGATGAGATTGTCAGATAAAATGATGAATGAGAATTGAAATATCAATATGCTAAAAGGACTGCAGTCCTTTCTCTGTGAGTACTTAGGCTACATTTTATGGTGATTGCTGGTGGATATTTGTCTGTAGAAATTTTTTTGAGCAAGTATTTTGTATCAACATTTTAAAGTTGTTTCTCTTGCTTATCAAACATAACGAGTTTTTCATGGTATGCAGATGGCAGTACTAATGGGAAACTATTGCAAAATGAGCTGATTGCTGTGTTGTGATCCCATTCACTTATTACATTAGACTGTGTGTGTATATATGCATATGTATTGTAGTTGATGACATGAAATATGATCTGGATACAAATGTGTGTTATTTTATATGTGACATTAAGACAGATATACATGTATGTTGGTACATATGTGTCTTACATTACATATGAATCTGTTTATGTATATGGATGTAATACATAATAGAGCACGCTTTTCAGCCAAGAAAGAACTTAATTTGGAATAATCAGATGTGCATGTTTGATAAAGACTGTAGTGATTAGCCTGGGCTACACTGAGAGAGAAACATAGTGTGTTCTGCATTTTCTTAATACTTGGAAAGAATATTTTTGGTTTCATCCAACCTTAAATGTTTGTAAGTATTTTATTTTTTCACTGAAAAAACACAATTGCTAGATAATCTACACCATGCTAAGTGAGAAACATAGTTGGGCCCATTGTTTTCATTGGTGTTGGTGAAGGGGTATTTTGCAGTTAATGTAACTTGAGTTATTCATAGATTTAATTACTTGTTTGTTCAAAACAAAAGGAAGCATAATATACCTGTTGTTTTCAAGTAGTTTCAGAAATATGTTAGATTTGTAGGATCAAAATATTTTCAGACTTAGCAGAGATCACTGAATATTTTATTTCAGTATTATTTCTGAACAAGTTATTATGCATGAATGTTGTGTGATCTATGCTTAGTTGTAACATAATGATAGTTTTTATAATGACTATACAAAAAAAAACTGGATTTTGTGAGACCAGATGTTGTATTACTTATTTGGGTTTTATATAACTTATAGTGGACAGCAAGTCGGAATTGTGGACAGATAGATTGCAAAACCATTGTAGTTAGATGTATTTGTCCTACTTGTAAAATGATGTAGTAAATGTCATAACGACATTAATTCTTACTAGCAAAACGATCACTAGGAGAAGTTATTTAACAGCATCAATGTCAATCATCATTAAACCAGTCGAGTAGTCTCAACTTGTGCGATTTTTATGATTGGTCAATAACCATAAACATATCCAAATGACGTGTTTTTGTCTGATGTGCAGTAATTGGTACATATCCCTGAAATTAGTGTTTATAATGTTTGTCATTCAGTGGAATGGGAAGCAATAAAAAAAGACATCTAAAGTAAGTTTACAATTACTAAAGTTCTAATTTAGTTGCCTCTTGAATATATATATATATATATATATGTGTGTGTGTGTGTGTGTTTCTTTAAAATCTTCAAAACAATCGTTATATGCTATTTTATCTTTTTTTTTAGTAAATTATATTATAAATTACACATCTAAGCAAAATCCATTATTCCCCGTGCTTTTTTCGTTGTTGAGAATTGCAACCATGTTCGTACTTAATAGCGTTGGAAAACAAAGAAATATGGATCAAATTTCACCAGTAGCATCACGAAATAGATGTTCAATAAATTATTTCAGTAAAGCATAGGGTCTTCTAACAGGTGACAGTTTAATGGTATAAACTGTCAACATGTTCTACGGCATAATTTTTTAACTGCCCCATACCTCAAGCAGTTTGAGAATGAAATGAGTTTTCATTGTATTCCATTTGAAGACGTACTGATCAAGTCACCAGACAAAGCGCTAGTGGATTTCTTTGTGATTTAAAACTATTGAAATGGGATCTATCGTTCTCTTGAACTAGGTAGCTTATGCAAAGCCAGCAGAGAGGAAGGATGTACTTTAAACATGGAAGCCTTACAACAGAGCCCTTTGTTCTGGAACCTATGTTTCAGGACTATTATCAAGAAGCTAGGTCGTCAGATAGAGCACGAGTGGACGTGGTGACATAGACTGTAACGATTTTGTAAGAGTAAAATAGTTACAAGAAAATATACTAAATTCCTGTATATACAGGATGTCTGTAATGATACTTTATGCTTTCTGTTACTTAACCTCTCAAACCATGACACATATGATGGTAATTAAGTGAAACATATATGTAGAGTCATGGAGAATGCATACCTCAAGTTTGCAGATTTTGCTCAAGAGGGAGCATTTATGCTAATAACATCACACATCTGTTAGATGAATGGCACGTAAAGCCTCCCAATTAATTACATTTATTGTTAAAGAAAAGCTTTAAGCTTCTCTTAAATGCGTTTTTCATGACCCAATTTCTATGCACACTTCATTCATCTAACGTGTGTTGTAAGTAACGGAATGCTTGACGTAACTTTATAATCACGCACGTGAGTAAAGACATAATTAATTTTCACTTAAAATACCTCGCTATCATGGCTATTGTACGTAGTAAACATACATTATTTTTAGAGCTGAGCGAATAACTAAGAGAAATTAATTATATTTTACAACAAACTACAGACTAACAACTTTACCCATATATTTTATTAATAGAACAACATATTTTTAGTTTGTATCAATTTTTGTTATGGTTATTGTCTTTACCTCGTGTCGAGTTTTCTCGTTTCAATATTTGTTTAAATGATGTATTAGATATATTTCGAAAATAGTGAAAAACTAGCAACCGTAATTTAATTTTATTTGCTTCATTTGTTCAACAAGATTATTGTGGCGGTAAAGGTTTTTACAGATGGCGCTTTGCTTAGATTGGCACGGTATAATGGCGATTGTATGTCGAGGGGCGAAGAAACAGAAAATAAGTCATGAAAGACCATCAAGCCCACTTCGAAATGGAGATTACTTTATCTCTAATACCTACCAATCTACGATTTACAGAAATGGGATGGTGGCTTGCGTTGAAATGTGTTTCTTCTGCTTTGATGTTCTATACTGTCACCTAAATCAGTTTGAACCTCCAAAGTCTCCAAACTTTCCAAATGACAGATAGTATGTTAAGGAAGCTAAGTAGGAAGCTTAAAATTAAAGGCATAGTATCATCTTAAATCCATGGCTCATCACATATAGCGCTAGCTATAAACATTAATTTGTTATTATGTAAAAAATAATTTATTCAACTTCTGTCATTGATTGTCTTCAGACCGAGAGCAAATGTTTTAGACTTGTAAAATGATGTGTTATATAGTTTTAGTTTACAGTTTTAATAATGAGAAGATGTTAATGAAACCAATTGTACAAATCTAAATTAATATTTTAAGTTTATTTAAAATTAAACTCGTTCTTGATTAAATTATATTGCGCTGATTATAAGGTAAATCCAACTTACTACTTATACAACTAAATTATTTAGGCTATATGTAATTGGGCAAGGATTTCCAAGGTGATAATATAAACTAATAATGTAAAGAGTTACTGTTAGTGTTATTTTCTTTACATTTCTCAGTCTTTTTGTATGAAATTTTTAGATAAGATTTATTTGAAGATTAAACTCAATATTAATTGGGAATGGCAAGTGCAAAAACCTGTTAAACATTATGCTATTCAAGGTTTCAGCACACAGTTCTTTAATGGAAAATATATTTGTAAGTTTGACACTTCATTATGATAATTTCAAGAGAGCAGTGACATCTTAATTTTGTAATTGAAAACATTGGTCTTTCGCCAGCACGATCTTTGACTTATGTGTTATAACATAGAACCAAGTTATTGTAGCATATTTTTAAAAGTAGTATAAACTTTTCAGCTCAATAACTTCTGCATTAAATATATATATTGTTGAAAAGTAACAATGATACTAAACATTTTGTTTCCTTAAGCTTATTTAGAAATAATTATTATTTAATAGGAATTTGTTTGAGGAGTTCAAAGTTTTAGGGACAAGTCTGAATTGTTGTTTTTGTTGCACATAAGAGTTGTGTATAAATCATTGTGCCACCTGTTGAATATTAATCTTTAATTCTAGAGGTTAAAAGGAGTAGCAGAAATCCTTTTTACCACCCATTATGAAAAATACCAAAGCAGACATAATTTTTTGGTGAATGATCTTTCTCTGTTATTTTTTATTAGTATTTTTGTCTCGGCAAGTAAGAATTTTAAGAATCATCAGTTATAAGTTTTGAGCAACAGATTTACTGGAAAGCTTATCTGGATTATTGAGAAAGTTATGTGTTAGTTATAGAAACTTACAGTAGCAAGTTACAGTAGCATTGGTCTTTTAAATTTGTTGTATCATAAGTATAATCTTTGCTTTTGTTATTCTGGGTATTTTAAATTCATTAAATTATGAATCAAAATTAGCCTATAAAGGTTTGAAAATTGTATATATATATATATATATCAACTATTGTTATTGCATGTTTTATTTAAAGATGGCATAAGCCATAATGTTTTCAAATGTTGTAATAAGCAATATAAATTTTTGGTTAAAAAAAACTATTGTCCCAATTTCAGACCAAATCTACACTTAATTGTACACACTATTTACTTATTATAATTTTCAAGTATTTATGTAGTCACAGTTGCTTTTGAATGTTATAAGTTACATTTAAAAACTCAGAAAGCTTTCCTTATGTGTAATTTCTGTTCAGTCCTCTGTTTGTAACATGGAAGATAGGAAAGGATCGCAGGTTACGGGGATGTATAGGTACTTTCAATGCCATGAACCTTCATTTGGGTCTTAGAGAATATGCATTGACAAGGTAAAATTGTTTTCATTGTTCAACCAAGATACATTTGAGATATGTGCTGCTTCTATTAATGTTTTAATAAAGGATTCTATTGTTATCTATGTAATGTTTGTTTAAAAAACATTGAAACATGTTTGAGTATCAGATGTTCTGTTTAGTTTAAAAGAATATATTTATAAGAAAAGTTGGCTGTAGCTAGGTACCATTTCAGTATTTATCCAGCATATATGTAAAATATAAGGCAATTCTACATTATGAGTTACCTATTAATTGTTAAAATTTCGATAAGGTACTCTCTCTCTCTTCTCACAAGATTAGCTTTTCTCATTTTTCCTGCCCTCTATACACAAACTTTTTTGGAAACTCATGCTACAAGCTTTCATCATCCCTCTGTTCGAATCCAAAGTTCCAACACATCTCTCATACAAATCATCATGTCTCACCTCTCCACCAATAGAAGAGCACTACTATCACGTGATGCATGTGACTCCCTCTATGCACCACTACCGAACTATCACTTCTCGTTTGGCAGCTATTGAGTTCAGACATTCTTTCTTACATTGTTCAGTTACCTTGAAGTGGTTTATTTTTTTCTTAACTTCATTTACTACACTTCACAGTTGGGGAGTTAATATTTTTATTCAAGCATCACTTCCTTGCATTTGCCATTTTTTCCTGCCTATGAATTCTGAAGGTACAGTCACCACTTTGGATACCTCGCTAGCGTCTGATGTCGTATTTTCAGCCACAGGTGCAGATCACCATCAGGAGGTATATCATCGATCATTCGCTGGGAGATTGAGTGTTTTTGCACTATGGATCTTCTTTATTGGGCACACACACACACATCGCATTTGTTAGATGGCGTGTCATGTCCCAAGTGCTTTCAATCTCTTAGCTGACCATCTTTCCCAACTGGATCACATTTATCCCACGGAGTGGTCCCTGCATCCTGCCATTTTTCAGTGGCTCTCTCTGCATCTGGGTATGCCCCATATCGATGCCTTTGCCACTGCCCTCATTCACAAATTACCTCAGTTGTGGACCCTGGTTTCCCATCCTCGAGCTTTGGCTTTCAATGCCTTCAGCCAGGAATGGACTCATCTGTTCCTTTATGTTTACTCTCTCATCCATTTACTTCACTGGGTGGTCTTTCTCATCTATGCCACTCCATGCATGGTCCTTCTGACTGCTCCTTACTGGCCCATTCAACCTTAGTTCCCTTAGTTGTTCCAACTGCAGATGGTCCCTCCCCTTACTCTTTCTTTCCATCCTGACCTGCTCCATCAATCCCAGTCACCAGCACTCCATCTCGTATCGTCTGTTCTCCATCTTCATGTCTGACTTTTGTAAGGCCCATGGCGAGGAGTTCTGGATTTTCTCACAGAGTAGCTTCTCATTTAGCCTGTTCTATTTGTCCTTCCTCCTTTGGCATTCTATC